CACATCTGTACAATGAGGGTAACTATGTTTATGTTACAGGATTGTTATAAGAATGAAATGAGAGAATGTGGTGATTCGGCACTGACTACTTACCTGACGCATAATTGGCTATCAGTAATGGTGACCATTTGATCTGCAGAGCAAGCACTCTGGAGTAGAACTAGGAAAATTCTGGAAAGGCGGCTGTGGTGGACTGAACACTGGTGGGCAGCTTGTAACTCCCAGCTGAGCAGAGTCAGCGCGGTTCCGGGTATGGAGGGTCCACCTGGGGATCGTTGTCAAGAGCATGAAAAGGAGAACTGGAGAGGAAGAGGTGGCACTGCTGGTTCTCCTGGAGAAGCTCGCCACGCTTTCCCACTATGAACTCACCTGTTCCCTTCGTCAGAGGAGCTTGGGACCTCGTTGTCACTGAGGATGGCGGTGGTACTTTTCAGGGGAACTCTGGTTCTTACTTTGAGCATCGCTTCCTGGCTCCAGGGCAGATCCCTCAGCCTGCCGGCACAGATCCTTCATCCCACTGGCACAGACTTCCTAGCTTCCACCACTGACCTTGGGGCCTTCCCAGTGCAGATGTTGAAACAGACCTGCATAAGACACTGTCAGGGGCTCTGGGCCTCCAGTTGGACTCATGGAGGACATTGCCATGGGCTCTCGGTCTTCAATTGGGCTCATGCAGGACGTTGCCGTGGGATCCAGGCCCTCAGCTGCATTCTTAGGGCCTCTAGTGTGTGGGCAGATCTCCCGCACTCTTTTGTATTTGACTCTTTGGGTGACCGCTATAAAATAATCCTATAAATTATGTGTCCTGTATTAAACTGTTTGCCTTGCACACCCTGACTACTTCAGCCGTTATATATACTGTTAGGAACAGGGCACAGATGTGACACAATGGGGTTTATCCTTACGATCACAATCTCTGTAATCATTTCTACCTGGGCTAAGGGATTTCTTTTTCTTTTTTCATCTTATCAAGAGATTTAATAATAAGTATCACTGCAAGACACCGGGAGGGTCATTCAAGGACATTCTCATTAATAGTTATTAACTTACTAAATGAAACAGGCTCACCACAGGAGCCCAGCGCTCATTAGCGGCCTGTGCTATACATTCCAATCACCCTGCCTTTTCAGGCCAAAGAGCACCTTAATTGTAATTCCTAATTGCCCAGGTGATCTTCCAAATTTCCAGCCTTACTGCTTTGGATCTAACTGTGTTTTTAAATAGCGTATTCAATAAGGCAAGTTCCACTTCCGTGCAGTGGTGGAGAAATTGGCTGGAGGAAGAACAAACAAGCAAAGAAATGGAGTCCCGCACTTTACTTCCAACCACACGTTCTTTGAAAAAAAAAAATGAATCAAATTGATCTGTGATACTAGCTTAATAGTCACAATTGTAATCCACAAGGAAAAGACAGATTTTTTTCTTTTTGTATTGTGATCTGACTATATATATATATTAGCAAAAGTTCAATGAAATGATACTTTTCTTACTGCCTATGATACATGCTGACATTTCCCTATTTTGTTGATTTGTTTTTTGTTTTGTTTTTAAGTGCTAGGGATGGAACCTAAGACCTCCCAAATGCTAGGCACATGCTCTACCACTAAGCTACACCAGAGCCCTGTTACTATTATTTATTTATTTATTTATTTTGTCTTTTTGAGACAGGGTGTTGTTCTGCCGTTCAGGCTGGACTTGAACTCACTTTGTAGCAAAGGCTGGCCTCAAACTTGCAATCCTCCTGCCTCAGCCTCCCGCCTGCTGGGATTACAGGCATGCGCCACCACTATTATTCTTTAATGCTGGTGGCAACTATTGATATCATGACCCACTGTGGAACTTGAGTGAGCCACAAGTGGCCCATGGGTATGAGGGAATAGGGACTCATAGGGACCTCTCCTGGGCCACTGGGAGCACAAAGAAGAAAGTTCCAACAGGTTTCCTTGTGGGTTCGTGCTGGTGCAACTCAGGTTGGCTGTGAAAAAAACAGAACTCTTTTTTTCTCTGCTCAGGATCACAGTTATAAAAGCAGCATTTCAAGGGAGCTCCCTTGAAAATCGCACATGTTTGTGTAAGTGCCTCTACATTTCCTCTGCTTGGAACACAAATACAAGGAATAGAGGTAACATTCATTCAGGAATCAAAGTTGGCCAAGTGTGGCCAGGCTTTGCTCCAGCCTGTAGCCCAGGCCACAGGGAGGCACATGCCAACATATTTTTTGAGACCAGGGCTATCTATTCATTATGTGTTGGACACAGAAGAATTAGATGGAAAACTCTTTTCCAAATCAGCCCAGTCCCTGTAAGAGTGTGCGTGCCTCTGTGCATGTGTGCGTGTGTGTGTGTGTGTGTGTGTGTGTGTGTGTGTGTGTGCATACCTTCGTATGATGACCATCCTTATGCAAATGCCACAGAGGAAGCTCCCCGAAACAGCCAGCAAGCCTTCTGAGACAGAATATTTCCCAAAGATCAAACTTCGGGGCGTTAAATACTATAACGTGAGTGTTTGCATGGAAATTTTTTCAAACAGGAAAAACATGAACTTTTTCTCTACATTTTCTCTCCCATTTCTTGAAAAGACAAATACAGCAGGCCATAGCTTTCCTATCTGAAGCAAATTCTGAGTCCAGAAGCCCCTGGGAGCCAATGGCCCCACCTGATTCACCAGATTTCTCCTCAGGTATCAATTTCTACCACTCATTTAGAGCCACTCTTGCTTTGGAACAGTACTGGTGTTCACACGTGCCGTTCTTTCTCTTCTTCTGGGGACACACGGGGGCTTTCCTGACTCAGTAAAGTGTAACCTTAGGACTTTTGCGGCCATTGAAATGTCAGCGGCAACATGTGTCACATCTGAGCAGAAGCATTTCACAAGGATGCACGATTCTCCCAGTCTGTCCATCTCTGTTGCCACAAAACCTGGAGCCTTGTGTTTGGATAGTAGTGTGTCAAAATGATAGATCCTTCCTCAGCTCGGCTCCTCAGGTGGCTAAAAGGAACAGAGGTCCCCAAAAGAGCCTACACTGGCCACCAAGCACAGCAAGAAATAATCTTCTGTAAGTCAGTGAAGTTTGAGACTTATTTGTTACCACAGCAGAACTTGGCCATCCCAACAGGCACACATAGTTTTGCTTAGCAGAATCCATGTCCTCTAAAATTTCTTAAGGTACCAACTAGCCGATTACGTGGGAGAGAGCTAATGAACTCAAAATGAGAACTCTTCCTTCTGTGATCTCTCCTGAGAGCTCATAATGGCCACACATTCATTGAAAACTCATTCCTGGCATCTCCGGGTCTGTTTGGCAGTAAAAAGCTCCCATGTCCCCATAATTCTACTGGGCTGGGGAGTTCTATAAAAATTCACCTCTCAGGAGGCTATTTTAGTGTCGATATTTGTTCAGAAACATCCAGCCAAGCAAATGTTCATTAAAAAGCTGGCCATCTACCTACCCGGGCAGAACTAGAACAGCACTTTGAGACTGACTCTCATAAACTCGCTCCAAATGAAAGGAAAGACCTCCTTTCCAGGGGTTGCTGTCTGGCTCGTCAGTAGCCCAGTCCGCAGGCCTTCTGCAGGCTTCCACAGTTGCCCCAGCGCAGAGATCTGCTCTCCTAGATTCTCAGGGCCTTCACTCAGTTTCCACGGCCACAACACAGTTTGAGTAAACATTTCTAACCCCGCTGGATGCTCCCATTTGAAAAGTGAGACATTTGGAGAACCAGTTCACTTTAAAACATTAAAATTAACCAACAGGTTTGCAGCTGTGAGTATTGTCACCAAAGGAAAACAAGCCACAACTGAGGAACCTCATTTTCCACCCATAGGAAAAAGAATGACTACCTCAAGACATCATCTGACATTTAAGTATAGGATACATTTTTTTTTAATTTTCTTTTTTGCAGTGCTGGAGATGGAACCTTGGGCCTTGCACATGCGAGGCAAGTGCTATTCCACTGAGCTACAACCCCCACCTCAAGAGTGTATTTTAAATAATAGCATTGTATCAATGATAAAAAGCCTGATTTTGATAATGGTATTATAAAAGAATATCCTTGTTTCTTAGGAAATACACACTGAGGTATTTAGGGATGATGGGTCATAATATTAGTAACAAACTATTAGTAAAAAAATATGGGGGGCTGGGGATTTAGCTCAGCGGCAAAGCGCCTGCCTGGCAAGCGCAAGGTCATGAGTTCGGTTCCTGGTACCGGAGAAAAACCAAAACCAAAAAAATAAAAAAATTAAAAAAAAAAAAATATGGAAAGAAAAGCAGACTTCAAATATGTAAAAAGCTATAACAACTGGGAAACATAGATGCATGGCTGAGGTATTCACTCTACAGTCCTTGCAACTTTTCTGTAGGAATGAAAATTTTAGAAATAAGTTTTTTTTTTAAATCATGCATGCTCCAGATCAGTGGCTTTCACATCTTTTAACCACAGCTCCAAAGTAAAACATAAAGTACACACAGTAACCCAGTACACATATATAGACAATTTGAGCAAATGCATACAAATTAAGTAAAAAGTTTCACAAAATGACACGTACTTATAGTATTGCATGTGATGCTCTGTGACTTTTCTACTCTATCGTATTTTTACAATGGCTGTTTACAGTGCTGGGGATGGAACCCACGGCCTTGCGCATGCTTGGTCCATGTTCTCCCACTGAGCTGCACCCCCAGCCCTCATGGTCTTTTACCAAAATGTTGGCCATGATCTATTCAACTCAGTTGATGACCACTAATGGTCAAAGCCCATTCAAACACTCCTGCAACAGTTCTAGTATTTGGTATGATTAAGAAATACTGTGAGCTGAGCATGGTGGCACACGCCTGTAATCCCAGCTACTGGGGAGGCTGAGGCAGGAGGATCAAAAGTCCCAGCCCAGCCTGTGCAACCTGGCTGTCTCAAAATGTTTTAACAAGTGCGGGAAAGGTGGCTCAGTGGTAGAGTGTTTGCCTAGCATGCAGGAGGCCCTCCTTGAGTTCAGTCCTCAGTACCATTAAAAAGAGAGAGGAAGAGGAAGGAGGAGGAGGAACTGTTGCTATAAAAAACTGACGGCGTGGTGAACCCTGAATCTGTGTGCGTTTTGCAAATTCACCTCTCCAAATACGAAGTGAGGAAGGAAGTCGGGACATTTCAGATCGCAGATTTCCAAACTGTTCACACACGCAGTTATCACTGCACATGGTGTAGGGAACAGCTGGAGCAAGTACTGAGAGACATACGGCACTGCTGTTGCCTTGACTGCCTCGTGGCCTGTAAGGAACCTGTGCCTGTTGTGACCAGTCAGGACGGCTCTGCTGCCGACTAGAGAGATGGGTGTGGGAAGGTGGAAGGGCCCGCACCGGCGGGGCGGGGCGGGGGGCCACGCTGGGGCTGGAGTCCAGGGCCTTGCGCATGCTGGGCAAGTGCTCTACCACTGAGCTACACCCTGAGCTCCCAGCCAGCATTTAGAAGGCAGCCTGCAAAGCCTATACTTGCATCCGGGCCCAAAGGGCTGCTGACCTGAAGGCCGACCAGTCAACCTCTGCTCACTTCCACTGCAACCCTGAGAAAAGCTGAGCTACTGGGGCCCCTGCAGTGAGATCTGGCAGCCCTGTGCTCAGATACTGCACACTCAGAGGCCCGGAATGCTCGCCACAGGTGCTGGTCAGCCTTGTTCTGGCGAGCAGGCCTGGGGGCTTATAGCTGGTCAGCCACCACCCTGAGGTATCCCTGCCTTTCTTCCCACCCTGCTTCCCTCTCACCATTAGCCCCAAAGCATGCGGCTCACAACAATTTCCACACCTCATAATGCCTCTGTCTTCTAAACACTCTTCCCACAAAACAGTAAACAAAGAGGATTTTGTGGCCTCCTCAGATTCACAGTGCACATTCGCATATGAAAGGCTAAAAGTCCTACAGTAGAGAAACTGGTTTAACCATAGTTCCACCACCACCACCTCCATACACACACTGGGGATTGAAGTTCCACCACCTCCATACACACACTGAGCTGCATCCCCAGGCCTTTCTCAAAATCTGAGACAGGGTCTTGCTAAATTGCTCATGCTGGCCTGGGACTTGCCGTCTTCCCGCCTCAATCTCCCAAAAGACTGGAAATTTGTTGGGGTCTTTTATAATTTTAGGATTTTACAGATTTATTTGTCTACAAACACACCCTGCTGCCCTAAAGTTCTTTTGTGGCTAAGGGCATCCCTGAAATAAATATGGAGTAAGTAAGATGGGTCTTTGTCTTAATTGCCTCTTAACACATCTCAGATCCCAGGAACCACCCTGCATGCACTTCCGTGTAAGTCTCTCCCATCTCCCTTCTGTCTTGTCCTACCCACCTTCCTGAGCCCTAACCTTCCCAGGCAGATATCTGGGGGGAGGGGAGGCGGAGGAGGAGGAGGCAAGGGAGGAGGAGGTGAAGGAGGATTATTTGGTAGAAAACAAACGATTGGACTTAATGGGTTACCCCAGGAGGAGAATTGGCACAGTTGATCGTTCCTAGCCATGGACTGCCTCCAACTCTGACATCGCATGCACGGTTTCCTGGAAGACGGGAGAGGGGTGGGGTGGAGCCCTAGAGACCCCCAGTGCTCAGCCTTGAACCCACCGGCCCACCGTCATTCTTGTTTCTCCTTTCCAAAGGATGCCCATACGAGAGGGGCAGAAGTCCACAACCACCCCCGACCTGGTGCCAAGTCCCAGGGCTCTTCTCTGCCTAGGGCCATCCGTGAAGGCAAACTCTCCCGTCCTCCAGTAGAATTTTCACAACTGGCCCTCATCCTGTTCCCTAAGCCCAAGTTTCCCCCTTTGGCCAAAGCACTTTGGGCCACCCCAAAGTGACAGTGTCAGTGCCTCTGCAGGCCAAATGTCACATGCCGGGCCATGCTGAGCAGGAGACAAGAGGCAAAGAAAAACGGGTCCTTGCAGCCCGAGTTCCCAACCCCACGGGAGGGGAGGGTGTAGGACAGCGAGGCGTTGGCCAGCCCAGCTGTGGTGTTCATCGCCTCCTCCACCTGGACCCTCGGGGCCAGCAGCTTGGACAGGAGGCTGCTGAACCTGCTCACGGTGGTGGCCACCGGCTCCAGGGATGGGCCCGCACTAGGCGCCGTGAGGTTCAGCTCCGCAGGGTCCATGCACAGGCCATCGGAGGAGCGCTCGAAGGCCACCTGGCTGAGGTCCAGGCCGGCCACGGAGCCCGGGGAGGCGCACGGCACATCGGCGACGCGGCCGGAGCCCTCCATCCAGTCCCGCAGCCACTCCAGGTGGCAGTCGCAGCGCCACGGGTTGCGGAAGAGGAAGAGGCGGCCCAGGAAGAAGCCGGGCTGGAAGGCGGCCCAGGAGATCACGGTGAGGCGGTTGCCGTTGAGGTGCAGCGCCAGGAGGCCCGAGAGGTTCTGGAAGGCGCCCTCCTCCACGAAGGCGATGCTGTTGCGGTCCAAGTAGAGCAGCTCCAGCTCGGCCAGGTCGGCGAACCAGGCGCGCGCCACGGCGCCCAGCGCGTTGCCGCCCAGGTTGA